GAGAGAGAGAGAGAGAGAGAGAGAGAGAGAGAGAGAGAGAGAGAGAGAGAGAGAGAGAGAGAGAGAGAGAGTTTCTGATGGGTTCGCAATTGCAACTTTGCATGTACCTACTGACGTGTTTGCTTTGGTGGCTGTTTCGACTCATGCTCACTGAATTGAGAATACGTGTCTACGGTAAAGTGAGTGCAGGCAGATGCTGGCAATGTGGAAGCTGCTAGAAACTATTTTATTCAGGGAACTCAAAACAACCCAAAGAGTGCAGCAATTTGGCAGGCGTTTGCGTTGTTCGAGGAAAAACAAGGACGGATAGAATCTGCAAGAAGAATGTTTCAGGTGAGGAACATATGAGAAATGGAATGGAATCATTCGTTTTGTTGAATCAGAACCTTTTGTATTAATAAAAGGCGGGAAACGGGGTCCAGCGTCCCTTACATCAGATTCCCAGTCCACGCTTCCCTTTGTTATGGTCAGGGGGCCCTGAGTGATTCATGGCTATCATGAGATAGGGAGTGCACAGACTCCAAAAGCCTACCAATGTGAATGAAAGCCTCGATGACTAGCAATGCGATCAACAGAGAAGCAATGCAAGTCAAAATCAAGGCAATATAAGGCAATGTAGCACAGCGGAAGACTCAAATGATAATCCGAGTCAGTAGACTCAGAACTCCACTTACAAACATCATCACACATGGAGAAGGGCAAGGAGGGCGGCGTACATACATGGACGAAAGGTCCCTCCTTGCTCCCACACGCATGGGGAGAAGAACCATGGATGACGGAGGTGAAGAGCAGACGAATGAGAAGGGTGGGAGAAGACGAGAAGAGTAGTTGAAGTAGCTGATAATAGTCTCTCTCAGCAAAGTCCAACGATCGTCTCCTCAGAAGTTGAATCTGGATCCTGGGCACTATCAGGCGCGAAATAGTAATTCTCTAAACTCTCTCTCTCTCTCTCACACACATAAGGAGGAGGAAGTAGCGGCTATGGAGGGTCAGAAGAAAAATCAGGAAGAAGAAGAAGAAGAAGAAGAAGAAGAAGAAGAAGAAGAAGAAGAAGAAGAAGAAGAAGAAGAAGAAGAAGAAGAAGAACTCTCCTCTCTCTCTCTCTCTCTCCTGATGATGATGCCACGAACACTGACCAGCGAAGGATGATGACTCAACTGATGCAGGTCGCTGCAGAAGGCTGGTCCCAGAGCGAGATGACGTCCCGTCTATGGTGCCCAGGTAAGTCTCTCTCTCCCTCGGGGCTATGGCCACCACCAACCTCTCCACTCCAACCACTCTCCTACTCCCCTAGCACTGCGGCTCTACTGCAGCTCTCCCAAAGTGGCACTGTACTCCAGCAGCGTGACGCTCGATTGATGCTCCACCATACTGTGCTCAAACCGGAGGACTGGCCCAACTATATACTGCTGGGCCTCGCTGGGCTGCCCTCGGTCTGCAATCAGGACCATCCAATCTAACGTCTTATCGAACTCGGCCTGCCCGGGTCCCTACCGGACACCCATGCGGCCTTGCGGATGCAGCAAGGCTGGCCCAGAATGGACGAGGACTGGGCCAGGCACTACAGACGAGTGCCTGGTCCAGTCCATATGCGGACGAAACTGAACCTGGCCTACAACGGCCAAAGCTAGAATCTGAAGTGATTGAACTCTCATGTTGCCATGAGAGGGACCCATCTTGAGCCCACACAATAAATCCAAGAACTCCAATACTTATCATAGATAGGGGTTGGGAGTTGTGTTTTCCCGCCCTCCGAACTGCAAAGGGAAACACCCCAGATCGTACGCCACTGGTCCGAACAGGCGTCAGTGCCTCTTCGGACAAAAGAAAAAGTCCGAAACTGACACCATTTTTTAGAACAGACAAAGACAGGCATTAACAAGCTCAGCATCTAAAATAAATAAATAAATGCTGAACTAAAGAAACAAATGGGACAAAAGTAAACCGGGCCTGGAAGACAATGGCCGTGGCCCTCCAGGTCGCCCAAAATACAGGGGTGTGCGGTCTGGGGGCAGAAGTGCAAAAGTCGGGCCTCCTAGGGGCCCATGTAGTAGGCCCTAGCATGCTACCCTTCCCCCCCCCCCCCTCCCCCCTCCTTAAGAAGTCAAGCTATGCCGAGGGCGAAATCTGAAGGAGGAACCTGCATCCAGTTGCTGCGGGCGCGCTGAGCCGAGGATGTCCCTTGCGTATGTTACTTCTTCTCATACTTGGGGAGGGCATCTGATGCTGTGGCCTGAAGTTCCACATGAGTCAGCCAACGATCTGCCTCATGGACACAGTAGGAAAAGTGCACCAAGAATTGCCTTGGCTTGTTCCCATAGTGGTGGTGCATGATAATGTGGAAAACCATCCATAGAAGGAGGGTCTCGTGAACGCCACCTGGGGAACTCATCGTGCTCCGCTAAAAGGAAAGGAGCGAGCTTGGAGGCGTGGAAGTCCAGGTGAACAGGCAAGTGGGCAGGCACCTCAGTAACGAACGAAGGTCCATCCGGCTCATCACCAGCAGCGAAATGTCTTGCTGAAGGCTGAATATGGTGGCCAACTTCCAAAGTAAAGGGGCAAGGTAGACGCTGCTGGTTGGCCTGTCAGCACATACGTTGCTGCATCTTATGCATCCTGTCCCATGCCTTAACGAGCAGGTCTTGCATCTTGCAAATGATGGTGCTGTGGTCGTCACCCTCGGCTGAGCGTGGCATAATGGAGTCCAAGGGCAAGACAGCCGGCATGCCGTGCTCGAACTCAAGAGGGGAGATACCATTAGTCGGGTGGATAGACGAGTTGTAAGCCAACTTGATGTCCAGAAGTCGCTCGACCCAATCCTTTTCGTCTGGATGAATGAGTGTGGAAAGAAGGACCTGTGCGGTTTGATGTGCGTTCTCCATTTGACCATTGGTTTGTGGATGACGGACGAAAATCGGTTCGAGGGATGTACCCATCCGACTCTCCTGTTCGAAAATCGGACATAAACCGAGTGTTGTGGTCGCACACGATCTCCTCATGAAAACCCTCGGTATATACCCAACCAGCAAGAAATACCTCCGCCAACTCTGGTGCTTTAGCCAATACCGACATGGAAGAAACATCACAAACTTAGTGAGTTGGTTCACCACCGTGAGGATGCCATTGAACCTGGACTTGTGCTTGGGAAATGGTCCGGTGATGTCCATGGTGATCTGCGGGCGTTGTTGAGATGGGACCAATAAAGGTTGCAACTCTCCAAAAAGGTAGTGATTGCAGGGCTTGCAACGTCGACAAACCTAGCAAAAATCTTAGTAGCGGGTGATCTCGGAGATGAGGTTGGGCCAACAAGCATTGGTGAAGTTGACCACCCGCGAAATGTCCTGCGGCAGGAGCGTCATGGAACTTACGAAGTAGGTGTGTATGTAGGCGCTGGTCATTTGGCACACAAACAATATCCTTCCCCCGTGAATGAAGAAGCAAGAACCGGCCTTGGATCCGATAGTGCGAAGGCGGTGTGTACAGAGACGAGCATTGGGCGTGGACGTCACGAAAGACAGGGTTGGCCTTATAGCTGCAGATGAAGTGGCATTGCAGGTCGTCGTTGATCTTGAAAGTGTGATGAACACAATGCACAGATCCGGACGCCGCGAAGGAGCATCCGCAAAACGATTCGACGATGACAAAGTTGAACTGCTCAATGTAGGCCATCCATCGGGCGATGGTGCTATTGAATGTGTTTGAGGCTTGTTGAAAACCAAAGGGTTGTTGTCTGTGATCCACTTGAACTGCCTGCCACCAAGAAGAAAGTGTCACCACCACTTGAGTACATGGACGAAGGTGAGTGGACGGGGGGTGCCAATCCTCACCATCATGTTGCTCAAGGACGGCCCCAATGTCGTAGCTGGATGCATCGATGGTGACACGTGTAGGCAAAATAGGGTTGTAGTCTTGTAGGTGCTCAATACCAATGCAGAAAGCAAAGCGGCCTCGAGTGCCAAGAAAGGTGCCCGTTCCTCATTGTCAAAGTAGAACAGCCGGTCCATGCTTTGAAGCTTGGTCAGATTGGCCGCAATCGTCAAGCAGCCCTTGATGAAGCGTTGGTAGTCGCTGGCGAGTCCAAGAAAAGATCGGGCATCCATAACATTAGCCGGTTCCAACCACTCTTGGACAACTTGGATCTTGTTCGAAACCGGGCTGATCCCTTGTGACGTAACAAAGTGGCCCAAATACTCTTGATGCCTGAACTCACACTTGTCATGGTTGGCTTTGTACTTGGTGCGGTGAAGAGTCTCCAAAACGTGGTGTAGATGCTCAAGGTGCTTGTCCAAAGTTCAGCTATAGACCAGAATGTCGTCAAGGTAGACAAGCACAAACCGGTCCAACATCGCGTGGAACTCACTCGTCATGGCCGCTTGGAACATTGCCGGAGCATTGATGAGGCCGAAAGGCATGACAACCCACTTGGAGTGCCCATACTGCATCTTGAACGCACATTTGTAACGGTCTTGCAGGATAATATGAATTTGGTGATAGCCTGACTTCAAGTCCAACTTAGAGAAGAACTTCGCACCGCTGAATTGCTCAAGACGATCATCGATGTGTGGAAGAGGCTCCACATTCTTGATCGTTTGCGCCTTGAGCTTGTGATAGTCAATGCACAAGCGTAAATCCTTGTTCTTCTTTCGAACGAAGAGAACAGGAACGCCGTACGGTGAGCTGCTAGGGGTAATCCAATCCTTCACAAGTAAGTCATCGGGTTGCGGAGAACCGTAACCTTCTCCTCACTCATACGGCAAATGCATCCTCTACATGGAACACTGCCATCCTCAAGAATAATCTCATGCGAGATAGGACGGTTCGAAACGACACCTGTTGAAGCCTCAAAGACATCCGCAAACTCGTCAAGCAACCGAAGCACACGTGGATCCAAAAATACATTCGTCGATGAGGAGTTGATTGCGGCTTGAAGAAAACAAAGGCCATTATAAGAAAACCCAAGGGTCATTTTAACCAAACTTTCCAACAATTCATAGAGTGGGGACCACATTAACTAATTGCAAAAAAAAAAAAAAAAAAAAAAAAAGCCCTGTAAAACATTAATGCAAAAGTGCACTTTCATCCAAAATTCGCCCACATTCCAATTTCAGAAATCTTTAGACATTCCAGATATCTCAGCAGAGAATTTTCCAATGCTCCAAATGAGAGCTTTTTTTTTTTTTTAAACAAATTGTACTTTCCTTATAAAACAGTTCGAGGCCGGGGACCTCACAATTCAACCCGGGGTACTGACAGCATCAGCCAGCTTCGCTTACAGGCTTGCGCCTGCAGAAAGTCTCTAACCGCGACCTTCCAGAATCCTACTGCGTAAATCT